ATATCAATTATACATAACGATACACATATGTCTATTGATAAAATATTAATAGGACAGCACCACACATACATAACACAAACATGTGGACATCACACACAATATACACATGTCATGTCTATTGATAAAATATTAATAGGACAGCACAACACATAAACAATTACACAAGACAAACATGTGGACACCACACACAATATACACAGACATTTCAAACATAACAACAGCTATAAGAGTTCACTGCACTGTACAATCCAGAACCTATAGTAATACAGGATTTGTTGAAAATGATGGGTGTTGTTAAATTCAATCATAGATGTGTACAACGTATGATTTATTATGATACAAGGAACAACAACTTGATACAAGGAACAACAACTTGATACAAGGAACAATTAATGTATATGTTACAAGGAACAACTTTCCTGTGTCGACTGGGCTAATGAAGACGGGAATACACCCACCGAACAGTGTGCTATGAGGAAAATTTTGCCCAGACAACAGCACTGTGATCTACTCTTATATCAAACTGTACACAGAACCTTGGCTTTTTAGAACTCTTAAATTAGTTAACTCTTATTTACTGTACATTCACTAATTCTAAAGTTTTGTTCGAGGAACATATCAGAATACTGAACCCATAATCATAATTTCCACCATTTAATTCCATTTATGGCTACTAAATATGAATTGCACAGCTTTTTAAAAACATGGAATTTGGGTAGGAAATATGAGATTAACAACATGGGTCTAGCCGCCTCCTCAAGGAATTTCTGATTATGTCACTGATTTAGTTTGATAATATCTCATTAATCTGTTAAATACGTTTATAATCCACTAACTAATCTACTTATAGATGAAAGAGATTAGTAGGTGACTAGCACACCCTTCTATATACTTATAGATCAACCAGATTACCCATCTATATTATATAATCACATCAAATCACTCTATTTAAATATTATTCTTATGTCTCCAGTCTAATAATAACATAGATTTACTTCATTAATTCTCTTATTATTACACCAATACCTCAACACATATTTAAATATACACTATCAGAGAGAGAGAGAGAGAGAGTTTAACATACACTCAACACAAACTAGGTCATTTTGTGACTAACATATGGTTCAATTTTATTTCTATAATTCGCTTGTGCGTAGAGGTCTTTAGCAGTGGGAGGAGCCGGAGGACCCAGAGAAAACCCACGAGATTGGACAGGCGACTCTATTCCTTGTCACGTTCAACCGGGGAATCGAAACCACGCCACTAGACTCAATGACAGACCATATGATTTCATGCACACATGTTAAACCACCTACCCCCCTATACACTATAAAGATGGCCATAAACCATGAAGTTTTCTAGAGAGAAATTTAGTCTGCCTATTCTTCAATAAATTTCTTGGAATGACCAACTCCTCATCTCCCATCCATTAAAGCCATATGCTACCAGATGGTCCACAAAAAAAAATCTTAAATAACAGTCATAAATATTTAAACCAACAGCTATATTATTGTTATTAATATGATTAACACGTATCAACGTTTAACAAGATTTAAACTTTACACAAAAATCAAATATAAAAACACTGTGATCTGAGATATGCTAAAAAGCCCTAAAGGCTTACATATAAAAAAAGTACAAATTATTTGAAATTTCAGTTTGAAATTCAAATTCTGGTAATTAAATACCTTTGGATTTATATACACAGTGTTTGTTTTTTTACCAACCGGCTAATATCTTTATACAGGTAGTGTCACACTGATCAGCAGTGAATATTCGCTAGGCTGCTAAAATCACTGATAAGGATGACATCAATGCGGCTTAATGAGCTCACGATATTAACGTTTGTTCTTCTGCAAATTAAATTCTAAAACATTTTTTTGAAGTATTAGAAAAATAAATAAAGGTGTTTGAAATATATCTGGATAAAAAAATATTTTCTATTTATTGTAAATGGGTATATAAAAGGCACCATTCTGCCTGATCCAGTTAACTCAATGATGGATACCCTGTGGTGAAACATGAAGTGTAATACAGAGATATAAGAAGGCTTTCACAATAAGTCTGTGATATAGTGTATCTATTTATCTCCAGGTAAACCATGTAGATATGCTGATCAACAGGTTATTGTCAATCAATATTGATCTATTGATCTATTTGTTGTAGTTGATCTGTATCAGGTTTATCAATGATGTGATTGACAGGTCAGACAGATTAATCAACACTTGATATACAATTACCTGTCATTCTACACGTATCAACATATCTATCACATCAATATGTATGTCCTGAAACTCACCGAGAGCCAAGGTTTGCTGTGATGACATCATGCTTAATTCCTGGTTCATATACTACATTCATACTTGATGTAGAAATGAAATGAAATGGGGTTTAACATCCTACTGTTCTGCTCCGACTGGGCTAATGAAGACAGCTTACCTCATACAGTGTGCTATGACAGAGAGAGGGAGAGGGAGAGAGAGATGGGGTTTAACGTCCATTTGACACAAACTAGATCATTTCGGGACTAACATATGGTTTAATTTTATTTCAATATTCACTTCCAAGTAGGGGTCTTTGGCAGTGGGAGGAAACCGGAGGACGTGGAGAAAACCCACGAGGTTGGACTGGCGACCCTACTTTTTGTCACGTACATTTGGGGAATCGAAACCACACCAGTTGACTCAATGACAGACCTTACGATACAATGTGCATGCACTAACCATTCGGCCATCCACCCTCCCAATGAGCTATGAGGGAAACTTTGCCCGGACACTGGCGGACAGCATAGCTATAGTCTACTCTTATATCAAATTCCAACTGTCATGGGTTCCTTTATGCTCATGTCAAATGTGTACCTCAGTCTTTTCATCCCATCTGAACAACTATACATTATCCCACACAGGAAAACTCTGATGAACTTTCTCAACCAAAACGGGAATCTAACACAAGACCTCCAGGTTAGCAAGCCAACGTCTTACTCACTGAGCCACTGTTGTAGAAATCGTTTGATTAAATTTGAAGATGAGAGTTCCATGAAAAATTTCATCCAGATAAAATTCAGCACCGACTGCGGAAGATCATATCAACATACTTAGCATTTCTTGTTGTAATTTATCGAATGTGAGTGACGAATAATCTGAATATAAAACATCAGGTGATGTAACATGCTATTAAAATCAATATTTAGTTTACAATGTAGAAAACTTGAATAAACATCTGTCAGTAATCAGACCTCCATAAATATATACATAACATATCACCAGGCTACTTTAAAATATATAATCACCATTTGATGAATTTATAATCACTTGCAAACAATGATATTGAGGACTGTTCTAAAACTAGGCTAATAATGAGTCAAATGTGGTTAATATTTAGCATTCCTGGCAGATAATATAAACAACATGTAATCATAGCAAGTAAAGCCAGCACATCATTAATGGAGGAGAAGGAGGGGGCTCAGTCTAGTGGATGGACCATTCTTAAAGTTAATTCTGTCAATTCAATTCATTTCACATTTACAATCGCAAGACATTAAACATTATCTACATGTTTTAAGACTCCCAATCAACCACCCAGTTCAGACACTTTATTCACAATCACTATGTCTGCTGAAGTTTATCACGAAAGATTACAGGATTCAAGCAGTCAAAACCAAAATAGCAGCAGCAGAGTTACTTCCCTTTATACTCAATTTCTGTTTAAAATGACTACCAAGTATTTCAGAATTTTGATTGAACAGATATCAGTTCAATGAAAGCAGACAAAGGAACTGAATCACTATTCTTTGGTGCCTAGAAATGGACACAAATGAGTCGGAGCGCATAGAAAAATGTAATATGAATGTATAAAAACTGATTTACATTCAATCATTTCTGTTTTTACTTTAATTTTTAATTTACTGTACTACGTGCAGTGTCCAAATTGAATGGTTGTCTTTGGCGTCTGGTTATTCCACTCTACACCAGTAGTATTCTCCTTTGAGATATGGTTAGCCTTGTTCATTGAGTCGCTTCATACAAATGGCATTTGAAAGCATTCTGGCACGTAATTCATGTACCAATTTTAAAATTCTCATTTTGTCTTAAATATTGGATATCAGAAGGCCACCTTTTCCCGATAAGATCGCAACATCAATGTTGATTTAAACTGACCTATAAGTTGTGTTTTCAATGTCGAAGACTTTGGATGATGTTGAGTTAAAGACTTGCCTACTTTAAATAAAGGGGATCATGTGGCTAAGTGCGTAAGATTTTTATCTTTAATACCACATAATTCATAGAAACTTTCACTTTCAGTAGATGTTTCTTATAATAACCCTGCCTTGTTATAATAAAGGAAGTATATGTCCTGATGTAACGTGATGTATATACATCCTTGTGCTGTCTTCTATCAAGGACGTGAATGGTTCATCTATTTAAACAATAGATAATCATAATACATGTAGCTACTACTATCTAATTAAAACACAGATCCTATTTCGTTTCGTTTTTATAGTTTAAAATTTCGTTTTACTTGTCTTTACTACACTAGGATCTGGAAGAGTTGTTATATAACCAGCGTTCTGGATGATGTGATGGATTAGCCAATGAAACAGTCTGTTACAGCGAGTTCTAGGCGTGTGGTGTACGGAATTGTGGGTATCCCTCAAAAAACATCAACGCTTATTAGTTAATCAAAGTCTGACGTCATAAGATCATAGGACATCGAAAGTATAAAAAAAAACGATACATAGATCTGTATTTTAATCAGATTGGTGCATGTAGTATTAACTTTCTTAATACAGAAATAACAGCTCAAGTATTAAATTTTAAAACATTCTGGACAACAAATCTCAAACTAAATTAACCATGACATCTACCAGTATTAACTTTTTAAAATATTCTCAGTAGTCGATACCTCAGTTCAAATCCCACAGCTATAAATATTAGTTTTAAATAATTTCTAAATGTCTCTGTTCAAATACTACACTAAAAGTAAATTTAATATTTTTACACCTCGTAGTTAAAGATTCAGAAGGCTGGGCGCCAGCAAATTTATGGAAATTGGTAATTGGTTTTTCATCCCATCCGAACAACTAGACAGCTGTTCTTGCACCCCTGGAACCACGTCGGAAAATCCTGATGGAGTTTCTCGGCCAATGAAGGGATCGAACCCGCGACACCATTCCTGCGAGAGCCCTCTATTCTGCACAAACAACAATGGAAAACCAGGTTGAAAATTGTGGCAAACTAACTCAAAAAGTCAACATGGACAACAAAACAACAATCTGTTTTTATACAGGTAATTACTTTCCTGTTAATAATTATATCTATAAATAGAAACGTGTCACAGTCTATTAATAGATGATGTCAACAGGGAAACATCACATAATACAAACAATCATACAATGTATTTCTATCAACATCACATACTCCCCTCCAGCCTTCTTGTAAACAATATGTAGTTAGTTATACTATCTATTACACCTCATCGGTCCTCATATAAACATTCTGGACACTGTAGACACACACATATTGATACACGAGTTCCCTGTCAAAATGATCTTCCTTTGATTTTTGAAATTCTTTTTTAATAATGCCTGAAACTACATGGAAAATGGATACCATTGCTGAAAATATCACCAAGCTTCAGATACATGTACATAGTTACACACCAGGGGAAAGGATACAGATTTGCTATCTAGTCTTTCAACTCAAATTAAACAAGAGATAAATCTGCCTATTGCAGGTCTTTCTTTAGGTCTGAAATGTTATCTAAATTATTAATTAGACATTAATTAACTTATCCAGACCATAATCAACCCTCGATGTTGCTAGCCGGCGATATTAACTGGATGTGAATACATTTTCTGATGGATGATTTAACGTTAAAATCTATAATCGAGACTTTGTTTTTAATCGTACCACTTTAGTAATGATGATCGAGGCTAGACCTAAAATTCAATCGCTAATATCATGGTTCAGAGTTGAACGATTTGACTGAAAATTTCTGCATATTCTCTTTACGTTATCTATTTCTTAATCTTTACAGCGATAACAGTCAGTTCTTTATCTAATATCCCATAATGACCTGTTAATTTAGGTGAATAACAGAGATTCTGTGTTTTTAACGAAGACTGGTGGAGAAGGAATCTGTTCTATGTACATTGATATAATAATGACTCAGTTGATAAAACCAACGTATCCCATTGAAACCATATCATAAATAAAACACTCCAGACATTTCTCTTGAAGTAAAAACTGAAAGATAATCTTGTTTTAATTGTGATAAATCATGTAACAGAATGATATAGACTATATCTAACAGTGTAATAATAGCCTTTATCTAGGCCACTAAATATAGTTTAGAACCTATATTGTCTTATCTCATACAGACATGAATTACATGTACATGGACTGCATACGGTACATGTAGGGTAGTCATGTCCCAATGAAATAGAGTTTAACAAACATCCAACTCTTCTACACCAAACAATCTTATTGAAGACTGGCATACATCATGCAGTGTGTTCAGAGGAAAATTCTGACCAGACAGCAGTATTTTCGACTTTTTCAAAATTCAATTTCAAACATGCATGTCATCATGTACATTGTACATCACTTGTTGTCCATTTAAAACGACTAGTCACTGTATTTGAGAAATGGGGAGTTTTGTACAACATGTAAGATGGAATAGAGAGAGAGAGAGAGAGAGAAATGGGGTTTAACGTCCACTCGACACAAAGCAGGTCATTTCGGGACTAACATATGGTCTTTAGCAGTGGGAGGAAACCGGATGTAAGATGGAATAAGTATACAAGTATGTCCCTAATAAATATAACATGTTTTAAGACTGGATGAGATTATATAAGTCTATGATATGTTGAACTCCATGACTGGTTGAGGATAGTTTCTATTTATTAATTACAACAATGTTTCTTTAAACATCTAGCTCGCTAGCCTGGAGGTCGGGTGTTCGATCCCTGCATTGGCTGAGAAAGTTCATCCAGATTTTCCGGCGTGGTTCTCCCTTGTCAGTGATGCAGGACGGAGGGGCTGACAAGGAAAGCTGTCTAGTCGTTCGGATGGGACGAAAAACCGAGGTCCCGTGTACACATTGGCGTGCACGTAAAAGATCCCTTGGCAGTTGGAATTCGAGAAAAGAGTAGGCCGTAGTGCCGCTGTCCGGGCAAAATTTCCCTCATAGCACACTGTATGGCGTATGCCCGTCTTCATTAGTCCAGGTTAGGAGCAGAAAAGTAGGACGTTAAACTCCATTTCATTTCTTTAAACATACATTCTACAAGACCTAAATCTGCCTATTGCAGGTCTTTCTTTATCTAAATTATTAATTAGACATTAAAGATACATTATGGGAGATAAGATAAAGAGATGGCAGTTCTCGCTATAATAGTTAAAAACTAGATAGTGTAAAGGTAATTTGCTGGAAATTTCAGTCAAATTGATCCACTATGAGCCGAGAAAGAAGCAGGTGAAATTTTTGCATAGTCTCGGTCATCATTACTAAAATCATTAATATAAACAGCACAGTCTCGATTATCCACTTTTTCTGATTTAATTATCAATTAGATAACATTTCAGGACTAAAAAAAGACTTGTAATAAGCAGATTTTGCTCTTGCATAATGCATGTTTAATTAACCTATCCCGACCATAATCAACACTCACCGCTAGCCTGCGATGTTTACTTGATTAGGATACAATTTGCTGCTCCACTTTCATTCTTGATTTAATCATGAAGTGGATAATCGAGACTATGTTTTTTTATTGTACCGATTTTAGTAATGATGATCGAGGCTAAGCCGAAAATTCAATCACTAAAATCTCTGTTCAGAGTGAATCAATTTGATTGAAATTTTCAGCAAATTCCCTTTACATTATGTAGTTTTTAACTATTATAGAGAGAACAGCCAGCTCGTTATCTTATCTCCCATAATGTATCTTTAATGTAAACCATGTATTAGACTTTGAAACAGAGGTGATAAAAGATTGAATAAGGATTGTTTTATAAATTAACAAGGATATAGCTACTTTAATCTAAACTCTCTGTTACTGGGGGTTAGTGCTAAATGATAAGGCAAGCTTAACTTTTTGTCATACATGTTGGTCGCGAGATGTAAACGGGTCTAGCGCTAATCCCAACCCTAACCCTAACCCTGGACCTAGCCCCAATGCTTACCTTAACCCTAACTTACAATCTCGCAAACAATCATGTGCGCTAACCTTATTTACATCTCAGCGCGACCGTGACAAAACTTGAACTGGACTTAAGAAATAGATTTAGCAGTGTTTAAACTAGTAGCTAGAGAGAGAAGTGATAAAGGAGATTAAACACATGCTATGATTGTCGACTTTACCATAAATAACATATCTTGTCTAGCTTAACAGGTTCTACTACCGGTAAATTGAATTCATCTATTACAACCACGGTTAGGTCTGCTTTACATGTATATTTATAAATTAGCTGGATAGTTGTTTATATCAATAACTGTATTTATAATCCACCATTCTAACAGAGTTTTTTGTACATGTTCATACTTAGGGGCAGACTGGGTAGCTCTGGGTCGTCAGATCAACTGATTTCCTTGGGCCCAAATAATCGACATGAAAGAATGTATGTGACATGATGAGAAAAAAAACCTACTCCACTCCACTTATGGATCCTTTTTCTCCTCAGATTTAGGCCATTATATATTTCAGTAGGTGCAATAATGCGTTTAATTATCATTTTATTTTAATCTGGGCTGATGGGCCCCTGACCTCTCAGGACCCTTTAAGCCCTGTCCACCTCAGTACATAACATACTGTAGTATGTAGACCTATCCACAAAAATTTACTTTGTGTTACATGTATTTTAACTTTGTCCCAAACAGGACATGATTAGTAGTAAAAACTTTTAAATAAACAAAAATTCTAAATCATCTGATGAAATGATATTTTTTTAAGGAAGGGAAAGAAAGACATTTTAATAAGGTGCAGAGGAATTTTCATATAATCGTACAATCCCTTAAAAGTTACCAATCCCTTCATACATGTACATTATATCTAATTATTCACAGCTTATTTCACGCTAAAAAATACTCAGATTATTTAACATTTAATTACGAAAACAAAATAAAAATATCAACCATAAGATAATCTTCATTTAGACAAAATGTTTTGATCCAATAATGCTGATCAGTGCTTTTCCCCCCATGGGAATCGCTATGTCAGCAACTATTATTTGTAGCGTGACAATATCGGTAGTCATGATGATTAAAAACCATTATCCTGAAAACGAGTCCTGTCCAAAATACATTGTAGATACGGTTGTACATGTAGTTGATGCTGTATAGTAAAAAAACTGTGTATTATTGAGGTATATAAATGTTTTATATATGATGTAACTTACCAATACACCAGTAAGTATATATCGATTATTACCCTACTTAAATATACATGTACCAATAATTGTGTAGTGTACCGTGTTATTTCACACATACAATAATATACATAATCTTGAAGTGGCATTTCGTAACTGGATAGAGCAATAAACTAGAACACATACATGATAATCTTCGAAATGTTGTCCAATTAAATAATTAGCTGTTTTTCTATTTACATGTATGTGTTATAGTTTAATATATATGTATCCTGTATTCATTATACAAACAATATAATTATTTACATTACACTTGATGATGACATACCAATTTGAACAATTATCATAAAATAGGCTATTGTGTTTAACTGTAGGATGAATTGTAGATAACATTTAAAATATTATTAAAATTCTGAAATCAAATAATCAATACATGTGTATGTAGTAAAACTGAAAATCTGAGTTGATATACAGTTGTCAGGTCTAAACAGAACAGCTGATTTAATATCATTGTGTACATGTATGTACAGAATGAGGATAAAATAGTGTGTTTAACTGATCTGCTAATAAACATAGATAGGTCTGTACAGTTTTGAGATTCTATCAAATGGATTATTCTATGTACTACATTTTAATGATAACCAAACTATAAGAAATCTTGATGGATAAATGAAATGAAATGAAATGGGGTTTAAAGTCCTACCGTCTGCTCCTAACC